CGTTTTCATTGTCAAGGAATGTTGAATGGCATCCTAGGAGATGACTCACATTGATTTGTTCACGGTATCAGGATGGCCATGTCTGTTGAACTGACACTCTGTTATTCTTTTGAGGCCTTTTGTCTATATTTTTCCATGGGTAAAACTGGGCCATATGCAGCATATCTTAATGTCATTTTTTAACTCATCCTTTATTGTTATGTCATTTTAGGAGACTTACAAATGTGTAATTTTTTTTACCTCCATCTTCTCTCCTCTCAGTCATCCCTCTCACACCTTTCAATTTTATACTGGAGCTGCACATTCATTCCCCCTACTAGGATTTTTCATGCTATTTCCACTCATTTTCAGAGCACTTCTGATGAACTTCAACCTGTACATGGTGAGGACCGACGATATTCCTGTGTTGAGTGTGGTGTTTCATTCAGTCAAGAGCGAATTCTGATAGCACATCAACTCATACGCAGTTGTGAGCACCCATTTTATTGCAATATATGTACTAAGTCATTCAGTTGTCAGAGCCATCTGAAGGCACATCACCTCATACTTACTGGGGAGCAGCCATTTACATGTGATGTATGTAATAAGTCATTCAGTGATCAGAGTACACTGAAGACACATCAGCGTATACATACTGGGGAGCAGCCATTTAGATGTGATGTATGCAGTAAATCATTCCGTGCTCAGAGTAACCTGAAGATACATCAGCGCATACATAGTGGGGAGCGGCCATTTAGATGTGATGTGTGTGGTAAGTCATTCGGTGATCAGAGTACACTGAAGAGACATCAGCACATACATACTGGGGAGCGGCCATTCTGCTGTGATGTGTGTAATAAGTCATTCAGTGATCAGAGTACGCTGAAGGCACATCAGCGTATACATACTGGGGAGCGGCCATTTAGATGTGATGTATGCAGTAAGTCATTCCGTGTTCAGAGTAACCTGAAGGCACATCAGCGCATACATAGTGGGGAGCGGCCATTTAGATGTGTTGTGTGTGGTAAGTCATTCGGTTATAAGAGTACACTGAAGAAACATCAGCGTATACATACTGGAGACCGGCCATTCTGCTGTGATGTGTGTAATAAGTCATTCAGTGATCAGAGTACACTGAAGAGACATCAGCACATACATACTGGGGACCGGCCATTCTGCTGTGATGTGTGTAATAAGTCATTCAGTGATCAGAGGACACTGAAGAGACATCAGCACATACATACTGGGGAGCGGCCATTCTGCTATGATGTGTGTAATAAGTCATTCAGTGATCAGAGTACACTGAAGACATATCAGCGCATACATACTGGGGAGCGGCCATTCAGGTGAAATTTATGTAATAAGTCATTCATTGTCACAGTATTCTGAAGACACATCTGTGCATACATACAGTGGACTCACAATTTTTCTGTGATGTGTGCAGTATGTCATTCAGTCGTCTCAAGACACATCAGCACATACATAGTGGGGAGCAGCCATTTAGATGTGATGTAGGTAGTAAGTCGTTCAGAGTACACTCAAGAGACATCAGCACATACATACTGGGGACCGGCCATTCTGCTGTGATGTGTGTAATAAGTCATTCAGTTTTCACAACAGTCTGAAGATACATTAGCTCATACATAGTGGCGAGCAACTATTTAGATGTGATGTTTCTAATAGGTAATTCAGTTGGAAAAGTACTCTGAAGACACATCATCATATACATGTTGATGTGTGTAGTAAATCATAGAGACTAAAGGAACAATTTGTTACTTGTAGCATGCCACAGTATTACATGTAAATAAGACAGTTTTAGTGTGTGTTTCATGCCACACGTTTGTAGAGTGCACCAAGATATTGGAGTTTGCTGTTGCTGACCTTGCCAACTGACAGGCAGGAACTCAGTGCCATGGTACAGATTGTCTGTGCATGTCAGTGTCTGTTTAATTCTGATTGCTGAATGTGCACCAGACCCTGTCTTGTTGAGTGGGAACAGACATGACATGATTTTCTCCTACACTTATAATGTCAATTCAGCAGTGGAAGCCAGTGATTGCTAGAGTGTAGTCACTGAACCTGATTGACAGCTTATAAACACAGTTATACAGATTCCTTTGTTTTTCCTCTTTCTCTTCTGCTGTGAGTAAATGCATTGATCAGTTAGTTAGAGATTAACATTATTTGGATTGAATAATTTTATTGCATATATACAATAAACACAATTTGTACCGTCATGGCAACAATACTTTATTATTTATTTATTTAGCATGGACTACATATTTTGACTTCAAGTGGGTCACTTACAGGTGCAGCAAGTTTCCCACATTGAATTGAATTGAATTGAATTGAATTGAATTTATTTACATTCTATAAATCCTAAGCAGGTTAGTACCTTTGGATACAGAACAAGTCAAAAGGTTACATACATAAGTCAGGCAATTTTAGCTTAAAAATTAATATAGCTTAATTTTACATCATTCTCTATTTACATTGAAGTATTCATCTAAAAAGTAGATGGAATGAGCATGTAGATAATTCTTTAACTCTGATTTAAACTTTTTAGTATCACTGCCCAAGTTTTTAATACTTTGTGGCAGATTGTTGAACACTTTTATGCCAGTAAAGTAGACTCCTTTTTGATATACTGATAAAGTTGATGAGGGTAGGTGGAAGTTATATTTTTGTCTAGTATTCATGTTATAGACATCAGAATTTAATTTGAATTTATCTTTGTTGTAAACAACAAATAAGAGAAGCGATAATATGTATTGCGATTGAAGAGGTAGAATTTTTAATTTCTTAAATAATTCTCTACATGAATCTCTACTTCTACATCCTGTAATGATTCTAATTATATTCTTTTGTATTTTAAAAATTATTACACTATGTGAAGAGTTCCCCCAAAATATTAATCCATAGTTCATAATAGAATGAAAGTAGGCATGGTAAACCATCTTCAATGTTTCCTGTGACATAAAAGGCTTAATTGATCTCATCGCATAGCAAGCTGCATTTAATTTAGGTATAATTTGTTCAATATGTATTTTCCAAGACAGTGTACTGTCTACATGTATTCCAAGGAATTTTGTATCAAGTACTTTACAGATTAATTTGTTGGCATAACTGATGTCCAGATCAATTTGGTGGTTGTTTTTAGTTGTGAATGATATGTAATGGGTTTTATCAAAATTTAATGAGAGTAAATTGGCTTCGAACCATCTGTTTAAGGCTTCAAATACAATATTTATGTCATTTTTAAAGTTTTCAAATTTAGAGTTCTTAAATATTATACTAGTGTCATCTGCATATAGAATTGGTTTAGATTTATTGTTGATGGTTTTAGATAGATCATTTATGTAGAGAAGAAAAAGTAAGGGACCTAAAATTGATCCTTGTGGAACACCGTGCTTTATAATTCCCCAGTTTGAAAATGCATTATGACTGGAGTTTTTATTATTTATTTCAACTCTTTGATACCTGTTTTTGAGGTATGATTTGATCCATTCATTAGCTTTGCCAGTTATTCCATAGAAATTTAATTTCGATAGTAAGATATCATGATTAACACAATCGAAAGCTTTTGCTAGATCACAGAAAATCCCTCCCACAATTAATCTGTCATTGAGAGCACTTAAAATATCGTTAGTTAGTTCATAGGTTGCTTTTTCTGTTGTTAGGTCTTTCCTAAATCCAAATTGCTCTTTGACTAATATGTTGTTAGAATTTAAGTGTTCAAGTAGTCTATTATACATAACTTTTTCAAAGACTTTTGAGAATGAAGTCAATATGGATATTGGTCTGTAATTAGAGATGCATTTTCTCTCTCCTTTTTTAAAAAGTGGTTTCATTACAGCGTATTTTAAGCGTTGAGGAAAAGTACCTGATGATAAAGATTTATTACATAGATGATTCAAGGGTGAACTGATGTAAACAGAGCTTGCTTTAAGTAATTTGGTAGAGATTTCATCATATCCATGTGAATTTTTGGGCTTAAGGGATTTAATAATGTTTTCAATTTCCTTCCTTGTTGAGAATTTGAGATTGATATTTGGAAATGAATTGTTAAAGGCACGAGACAGATAGTATATTGGATTATTATTATTATTATTATTATTATTATTATTATTATTATTATTATTAGTATTGTTGTTATTGGAATATGTTTTCTCAGCTAATGAAAGGAAATATTCATTAAATGCACTTGCGATAGCTTGTGGATTGTTAGTGGACTTCCCTTCAATATTCAAACTTTGTACGTCTTCATTAACAGATTTCTTTCCTGATTCAACTTTCACAATATCCCAGGTGGTTTTAATTTTATTGTTTGATTTTAGAATTTGGCTGTTATAGTTATTCTGTTTGGCTTCTTTAATGACTTTTGACAAAATTTTACAGTACATTTTGTAGTGACTTTTTAGTCTTGGATCATTACTGTCCCTACTGGCCAAATATAGTTGTCTTTTGTGTTTACATGAAGTTTTTATTCCAATTGTTATCCAGGTGGATTTGTTTTTATTTTCATTTTTGACTATTTTTAAGGGAAAGCTTGAATAAAAGATCCTCAAGTATGTGTTCAGAAAGCAATTAAATTTAGAATCAATATTATTGCTGTCAAATACATTGTCCCATGATTCATTACTTAATTTTGTGACAAAATCTGCCATCGTATGCTTGTTGATTTTCCTTACTGTTTGATATTGTTGATTACTGGGCTGAAGGTCAATATTATTTATTTCTATGAGTTGAGCATCATGATCGGATAAGCCATTTATAAAGGGTCCTACAGTATAGTCTCTTAATTTTGAGTTATCAATGAATATATTATCTATCGCTGAACTAGAATTATTTTGAACTCTTGTGGGAAAGTTAACAGTACTGGAGAGATTGTAAGATGATAACAAAGAGTCTAAATTTAGTTTCCTATTACTGTCGATGAGTTTATATTTATATCACCACAAATTATAAATTCAACTTTTGAACTATGCAGTACATTTAGGATGGTTTCTAATCTATTTATAAAGTGATCGAAGTTTCCAGATGGGGCTATATATAAAGTCAGTATACAAATATTAGAAAAAGGAGAGTCTAACTTTAGAGCACATGCTTCCAGATCGTGGTCTTTGCAATAATCTTCTAGATTTATTTTAGTAAATTTTAGGTTTTCATGTACAAAAATACTCACTCCTCCTTTCTCCAGTGTTTTCCTACAGTATCTAGCACCTAAATTATAATTTTCTAAGTAACATACTGTTACCAAACTGAAACATTAACATTCTCAATAGTTCCTATTGAATTCACAAACTAGACAAAACTTAAACTGTACCTTGGTTAAAATTAACTGTAACATGCAATAAAATAAGAATAAATATCAGAATAAAAATCATACATGTGATAAAGTCTTATACATAAAAATAGGGTACACCTGATTTAATAATTAATTGAATCCACAATTTGATATTTGGATCCTTTATTATCGGACTATCCATCAATAATGCAACAATATAAAAGACATTAGGAATATGTTTCACACTAAAAATGTATTTCAGCACTTTTTGATGTTGTTAAAATCATTAAAAATGAATTACAAATTATCTTTCAAAATGTTATAATAATAATCAACATAAAAACAACAGTAATAATAATCCAATTCGTGTTTATTTACGTGCAAACTTAACAGCACATAGGTCAATTACAAAGCTAGCATGAATAGAGAAACACACAAAAATAATTAAAAAAATTAAATACAAAAATGATACTCTATATTAATTACACAGTGCACTGCGCCCTTCGTCTTCCTCTCCACTGATTACTATTATGTTATTATTATTACGAAGAGGAAGGGTACAGCGCAATCGTTACTGGCCCTATTGTTGGTTCCCACGCTCCCCTAGATGGAGATGGGGTATCCAAGCTAGGAGGAGGAAGCTACACTCAGTTCATTGGCTTAGATAAACACAAATACAATTTTAATAAAAAATATATAACAATACACAAATAACAAACGACACATTTGACCAAGAAACTAATGCAAGCTCATTTAGAACAAAACAATTTCCCATCGGCACCACTTGTGTCGACACTAGACATATTAGGACGTTAAACACTCAGGCTATACAAACACAAGTCTAATTCTGAAAAAAAAATACCAAACCAAATCTAATAACGCACGTCGCAAGCGTTCAAGCAATGGCTTGCGACCGCGGGTAGTCCTTACCGGCCAGCCAGATAGCACCAAAAGGGAATTTAGAACAAACCCAGCCGAAACCAATATTTTCCACAACAAACCTGCTGGCTAGTAACCGACCTTCCAAGTCAACTTGGTCTACACGACTGCACTGTACAAGTCTCCCCTTCACAAGAGAGTACATGGGACCACGTGACTGACGTCAGGATACTGCATAGTGGGGATGGAATCCGTCAAGGGAAACATGATGACATCATACGTGAGCGAGCTAAACCTTAGAACGGCTCAACAGCATGAATAAAGATACAGAAGCAAACAT